AAGCAAGGAAGGAAGGAAGGAAGGAAGGAAAGAAGGAAGAAAGGAAGGAAGAAATGTACCCTTTACCCTGTAATCCTTCTATACATCACCTTTATAATAATAAAATATAAAGAACTTCAAAAAAAAAAAAAGAATATCCTTCATAATATCAAGCAAAAGTTGAGACAGTTTTATTTGTCTGGAAGTTTATCCAACATTTTAAAGTCATCATTTTGTTTCACAGCAAAAATATCTCATTTACAAAGATTTGAATTTGGAGCAGACTTTACCCCTCCCTTCCTGTTATATTCCCACTTAGTGGATTACTGTATTGGGTGTGCTAATGACAGCTTCAGAACTTCAGAGTGCTGTGGTTTAACTTGTAGTATGTTGCTTTTTCTTTTTTTGCAGTTTTCTTTCTTAAAAAATTAAGTAGTTGTACAAAGGAGTTTCAACCAGACAGATTATTAGTACAATGCATCTTGAACAATGTCACCTCTTCCATCATTCTTCATCTTTTCCAATCCCATCTATACTTTCAAGTTACATGGTTCCATTTTCATATGTGTACATTGAATATAATAACTGTGTTTGCCAACCTTCCTCTCTTCTTTGATCTGCCCCCATTACCTTGCTTTTCCCTGCCTGACAAAAGCATATTTTAGCTTCCAGGTACTTACTTTGTGAAACTGTTTGGTAGTTGCTCAGAGGACTTACACCGCTGGAATCCTCCCCTAATAGGACTATGTTTTAGTCAATTTGTGTGTATATAACTCAGTATGTGTTTTCATACATATTTATATTTAGATCTAACTTCCAAATATGAGAGAAAATATGCATCATTTGTCTCTCTAAATCTCACTTGACAGAATTTTTTAGGTTCATCCATTTCCCTGCGAAGACATAATATTCTTTCTGATAGATAAGTAAAATTCTATTATATCAAAATTTCATTATGTAAAATTCCATCTATCAACTACATTTTCTTGATCCATTTACCTATTATAGGGCATCTGGGCAGCTTCCGTAGCTTGACTATCGTGAATACTGTAACAATGAACATGGATCTGCGGGTGGCTTTATTATATCCTGACTTGTAATATTCTGGGTAGATGCCCAAGAGTAGTATTGCTAGATTATAGGGAAGTTCTATGTTTAGCTTTTTTTGGTGGTGGTGGAGGGTAATCTCCAAACCACCTTCCAGAGTGCTTGTATTAATTAGTACTATTTTCATTCCACCCCTCTCTTGTTCAGCAGTGAACCTGCTTTATCTGACCATGAGCTCTGGGGTTCATTTACATCTGTTTGCAGATTTCAACACCTAGGATAAAGATATCCAGGTTTAAGATTTGTTTTCAGAGCAAGTGTGCACATGCTCAGAGAATAGCTTCAGCCTGTGATAGGAGGAGGCTGTGTCTGCCCAAACTAGCCCCCATGTGCTCATGGAGGTGTTGTCTAAGGCAACTACATGGATTCCTAAAATGTACCTGATAGCTGGGAAGAGAGGTGAGATTAGTTCCTTCCCAGTACCCTCTAAATCAGTAGGTACACATTAAAATGGACCAGCATGTGACAATCTTTCTGTTGAAAGAGTGGAATTCTCAAAAGAACTGAACAGGGACAGAGCAATTTTCAAACCTTTAAGGAAAAATGGACTATTAAAAAGAAGTGTAAAAAAACACCCATAGGATTAGAAAGATTTAGTAAAAGAAGTCAGCACTGTCTCTTATCTTCTTAGTAACCTTATTTTATGTGAATTCCACATTGTTACTTATAATCAAGAGAACATATCTGAAGACTTAAAAAACACCTATAGTTCGCATCTCATATAACTGTTATCTTTATTGTATCTCTCAGGGTTTTGTATAGCTTGGGTCAGTGACAGACACATTTCATCTTTGCTAACATTGCCAGACTGCCTCACCTGCTCTCAGTTGTCTTCATGGTTGCCTACTAATTGATGGAAACTTATTTAAAGTTCCTTATTACTTGTACCTTGGCTATTTCTCTTTGTAGTGTTACTAAGCCAGTGGTTCATGTCTCTATGCCTATATCTCACCACTCCCCCGTTCTGGATTATGAGGCTCAGGTGGATTGCTTTGAGAGGTGCTGGGATGTTCTTGCTCCAGGTTCATAGCCTTTCTAATTTTGCTTAGTTATCCACGATCCCCTCCCCCACAGTCCCAACACAGGGGACCAGGAGTTGAGAACTGACAGCTTGGTGATGAAGACAGAGAGACCCAGCACCCACCACTCCTGAGACTTGGGAGAGGGGGTGTTCTTGCTGATTACAGACCAGCCAAGGACTCCCAGAGCCTGGCTGCCACTTTTGCCAAAACCAGAGAGAAACTTGGGACCAGCAGGGGTGCAAGGTGGAAAACCATGGTTTGCACGGGGGGGGGGGGGGGGGGGGGCGGTTCCCAGCGTGAGCCGGGAAGTTCTTCCACCAGATCAGTGACCCTGAGCGGGTCGCCTGACTGTGTTTCTATTTCCTAACCCGAAAAGTACCCTGTGCGGTGCTTGGCACTGAGTAAGGGCTCCATGCACGTTAACCTCCTCATGTCTGGATAAACCGAGGCTCCGAGCTCGTTCTCACCCCCACCTTGCTAAGGACTCAGGGTTTGGCCCGGGGGATCTGAACTTGAGCGGCTCAGAGAGCAGCGATCAGAGATTCGCAAAGGAAACAAGGAAGGAAACTCACCTTGGCGCGGGGGCCTCTGGCTGCTGTCACGGTGCCGTGGTTCTGAGGGCGCAGATCCCCGGGCACTCTGGTGTCCAGGGTCCCGCCCCTTGCTGGGGGTGGGGAGAGGGTCTGACCGCGGAGGCGCGGGGTCAGTGCCGCAGGCTTCCCGGGGCGTCGCAGCAGGTGTCTGCGCGGATAAGGTGCCTTCAGCCTGGCCTCCGGCTCGCCATGCTCCGCAGGGGCGTGCAGCGGCTGCGGGGGCTCCCGCTGCCCAGCTGCCCCGGGCGCCTGCGCTCGGTGGGCAGCCCAGAAGGGTGAGTAGGGCTGGGAACTGGTGGTGGATCAGCCTTCAGAGTTAGGAGCGCCTCAGTCTCCGCGAAATGGGCTTGAAATTGCCCCACTGAATGATCAGCTAATTACAAAGGGAAACCGCGTGGAAAGAAAGGCTCCTGTGTGCCGACCCTCCAGCCCCCTGCCCTCCCCAGGCCACAGCGAGTGCGGTCTTCTATCCATGAGACCTGGTGTGGGAAGGAAACGCAGGCTCATGTCAGCTTCTCTGATTGACTTTCACTTTATCTTTTGAGTTCTCTCTTGTCTTGGAGATTGTTTCATATCACCCTATGTTGATTACTCTTTAAAAAAATCAGCTGCTGCACAGTTTTTCATCCTGTCAATATTCACACTATAATTAAACAGTCCATTTATTAACATTTAGACCGTTTCTAGTTGCTTGCTTGCTTCTCTCTCTCTCTTTTCCTTCCTTCCTTCCTTCTTTCCTTCGTTCCTTCGTTCCTTTTTTTTTTTTTTTTGGGAGGGGGGGTCCGGTCATGGGGCCTGAACTCTGGGCCTGGGCACTGTCCCTCAGCTCTTCAGCTCAAGGCTAGCGCTCTGCCACTTGAGCCACAGCACCACTTCGGGCTTTTTTCTTTTTGCTTATGTGGTGCTGAGGAATCGAACCCAGGGCCTCATGCATGCAAGGCAAGCGCTCTACCACTGAGCCACCTTCCCAGCCCCTCTTTCTTTCTTTCTCTCTCTCTTGTTCTCTTTCTCTTTCTCTCTCCCTCTCTCTTTCTCTCTCCCTCTCTCTCTCTCCCTCTCTCTTTCTCTCCTTCCTTCCTTCCTTCCTTCCTTCCTTCCTTCCTTCCTTCCTTCCTTTCTTTCTTTCTTTCTTTCTTTCTTTCTTTCTTTCTTTCTTTCTTTCTTTCTTTCTTTCTTTCTTTCTTTCTTTCTTTCTTTCTTTTCTTTCTGCCAGACCCAGGGCTTGAACTCAGGGCCTGGGCACTCTCCCTGAGCCTCTTTGTGCTCAAAGCTAGTGTTCTACCACTTGAACTACAGAGCCACTTTGTTCTGACTTTTTCTTGATAGTTCGTTGGAGATAAGAGTCTCAGGGGCTTTCTTGCCCAGGCTGGCTTGGAACTCCAATAGTCAGATCTCAGCCTTCTGAGTAGCTAGGATTACAGGTATGAGCCACTGGTGTCCAGCTTCCAGTTGTTTCTTACTGCAAAAATGTGCACAAGAAAAATTGTAAGCATATATTGCTGGTCACACTTGAGATTCTACAGTCAGTGTTTGAGAAAGAAACTATTACTAGGTAAAGGATCATATGCATTTGAAAGATTGAAAAATATGAACAAACTTCCAAAAGATGGCAAGTGAGTATATTCTTGCTACAAGTGTAGCCTCTTCCTGCATCTTCATGGCTTCTAGGCTTTGCACATTTTGGTGTGTGTCTTTGTTAAGTCTGACAGGTGAAAGTGGCTATTCCTATTTTAATGGTTCTATATTTAAACAGAACAATAAGGAGCATCTTTTTGACTTCGTAGTGTGGTAGTGTCAATAGATTATTCAGTCTGCAAGGAAGGCTACTGGCTAAGACCACCTTAACATTGTTACCAGTTGACTCCATTATTATTTTACATACTATGCTCTTAATTTCTGGAATCAAAAGATCTACTTTTGAATTCCATCCATCCTTCAATTGAATAGATATTTACTTAGTAGCTATGATGTGCTAGGCTAGTCTGGTACTAGTAATACAATAGCTACCAAATTATAGTTCCCTCTGCATCAGTTACACAGGATGTGACCCAACACTTATGTGTCTCTACTAAATGGAGATAATCAGGTCTGCTTTGCCTAACTCCCAAGGTACTGTGAATTCTAAACAAGAGAATCCATGTGAAAGTGCTTTGCACACCTCAAAACATCACAACACTTACCATCATAGTGACATGCCATGGAGAACAAAAGGAAACAAATTTAATAGCTTGAGCTGATTTGTTTGAAACTAGTTGGGCAAATCAAATATTTAGGACTACCTCAAAATATATTTTACTGTAGCACTTGTGTATGTCTTTGTTTAATTTGTAACAAAAGCGTACAGACAAGTGGAAATAGTAAATCTGATGTTGCAAGTCAGAACTCATTGTTGAGTATGAGTTTTGGTCACTGTAAGTACTATGATTCCTACAATAGTTGGAAGTCATGCATGTATTGTTAACTCATGCAGGTTGGCTCTGAGATTAAAGTTGATGTAAAAACAGTATGCTAATTTATTTTGGCTGAATAATTTGTATTGACTCAATCCCAAAACATCAATATCTTTGATTTCACAAACACTTAGCCAAAGAGGCCAAATAAATATTTCAGTTTCTAATATAGGAAATGGAGGTCTGACCTGCATATTTTTATTGTTGTTTGTTTTGTTTTGTTTTCTGCCATGGATTCTACTCCATTTGATTTTTTAATATATGTGTGGATATTCTCAACTAGTTCCAGTAGGATTTTTTTAATAGGTTGTGGGGCTTGAAGTCAGAGCCTGGGTGCTGTCTCTGAGCTTTTTTGCTTAAGGATAGTGCTATACTATTTTGCGCAGCTCTACTTCCAGTTTTTGAGTGATTAGTTGAAGAGAAGAGTTTCACAGGGATTTTTCTGCTAAGGTGGGCTTCGAACCATGATCCTTAGATTTCAGCCTCATGAATACTAGGATTCCAGGTTTGGTGCCTGGCACTCCAGAAAGATTTAATACAACTGTCCAGATATTTTAAAAATATATTGCATGGGGCTGGGAAGGTGGCTCAGTGGTAGAGTGCTTGCCTTGCATGTATGAGGCCCTGGGTTTGATTCCTCAGCACCACATAAGCAAAAAGAAAAAAGCCGGAAGTGGCGTTGTGGCTCAAGTGGTAGAGTACTAGCCTTGAGCTGAAGAGCTGAGGGACAGCGTCCAGGCCAAAGTTCAGGCTCCACGATTGGACCCCCCCCCCAAAAAAAAATATACATATATTGCACAGTCTAGAACCTACTGTGGCATACTGAACAGAAAGAATACTGTGAACTAGACAATGCTTGTGGCCCCTTTTGGCAGATGGGGTGTTGAGATTCTTTATCTACATCACTCTAAGAAAGCTGATCAGTTAGATAGGGACTGAGGCTTGATCCTAAGATACCCGACTGATATTCTTTATTCTTCTTTTACTTGACCACTCTATTAAAATAAATCATAGTCTCTCTTTTGAACACACAGCAAAAGAACCTTTAAAATTGTTGTCATTGGTCATTTTGTATGGATTTCAAGCAAAGATATCTTTAGCCCATTTAAGAATGAATTTCTATCCAAAGTAGTGAATTTCTATATATGTTACTGTTTTCTTATTGAGTTCAAGGAAATGATTAAAGTAATTTAAAACCCAGTAAAAGTGGCCATGGCCCAGTGTCTCATGTCTATAATCCTAGCTACTCAGGAGGTGGTGATCTGATGATAGCAGTTCAAAGCCATCCCAGGCAAGAAAGTCCATGAGTCTTTCCAATTAACCACAAAAAGCTGGAAGTAGAAGTGTGGTTCAAGTAGCAGAGTACTGGCCTTGAGGTGAAAAGCCCAGACCCAAAGTTCAAGCCCCAGTACCAGCACAAAAACCAAAACAAATTTAAGCAAAAAAAAAATTTAAGTTAAGCAAAAATCCTGGAATTTACTGTGTCACCAGAAAATAAAGAAATGCTCTTAAGAATCTTTTTAATTATGTCTAAAGCATCCAGGAATCAATTGAAATAATACTTTTTTGGCTAAGTCTGGAACAATTTCGCATTAAAATAAACGATGAGACAAGGTGTGGTAGTTGATATTTGTAATCCCAGCTATGTATAAAGCAGAGAAGAGAGGATTATATTTAAAGGTCACCTGAACAAAAAGGTAGAGACCGTATCTCCAAAATAAAGCATAAGTGGCTAGAATGTGGCTCAAGTGGTAGAGTGCCGGACTAGCAAGGGTGAGGCCCCAAGTTCAAATGCCTGTCTAGAAAAGAAAAAAAAAAGCAGAGGAGAACAAAGAAGAAGCTTATAGTTCAGCTAATTGTGCAGATCTACAAGATAATGCTAACTACTGAAAAATCAGTAACGATAGGCAAGGTAGAGAAGCAGGTGCAAAGTGAAGGGAACAATGAGAGGCAGAACATTCTACTGCACCTGGGAAGCATGGGAGGGCCAAGATGATCTGAGAGTTATAGTGCTCAACTTAATGATGCTTGTGATTTTTCATGGAACAAAACAGTTCTAAATGTGTTTTTTAACATAATAAAGATATTCATTGAAGTCTTTCATGAGGAAAAAGGGGTGATGGAGAAGAGAAAAAGAGAGACTCTTCATTTCTTTAGCTATATGAAGCATCAGAGTCATTATGAGATGGGCCAAATACCTGTTTCTTTCTCCCCAACCCAGGTTGCCTAGTCAGAGATTGGGTGTCTAGCTAACCAAACACAAATCACAATCACTAGAGTGGGGCTGGGAAAGCACGTTAATCAGAACAAAGTTGGGTAAATTTTTTAAATTGTTATTATGAAGGTGATGTACAGAGGGGTTACAGTTAACGTAAGTCGGGTAAAGAGTATATTTCTTTTTGTCACCCCTTCCCTTGTTCTCTCCCAGTTTTTGTTCTCCCTTCTCACCCATGAGTTGTATAGTTCATTTTCAGCATAATATCTAGTGAGTACCACTGCTGCATTTAAAGTTAGGTATAGTTACCACTTTTAAAATTTGTATTCTTCCAGAAAGGAAAAGCTCTCTTCATCCACAGAAACAAAATGGAAAGACAGGGCAGAAACTGTGATAATCGGAGGTGGCTGTGTGGGAGTAAGTCTGGCCTATCACCTGGCCAAAGCAGGCATGAAAGATGTGGTCCTGTTGGAGAAATCGGAGCTCACGGCTGGATCCACCTGGCACGCAGTAAGTAAAGCCTCCACAGGGTCCTGTGCCCCAAATCAGGTACCAGGCTTCCTTCCCATTCACAACTTTCCAGAGCCAGCTTGTATTTCTCTATGGCTCTCTTAAACCTTTGCCATAGAGGACAGTAGGCCGCTTCAGTATAGTTCAGGAAGGAATGAATCAACAAACTAGCCTGGAATGTTCCAGTGGGGATGCAGCAGAGAATGGAGCATACAGCCCTGGTCCCTGGTGCTTCTTGGAGTTCAGAAAGCACCAGGCAGTGCTGGAGAGAAATCAGCACCATAGAGCAAAGTGCAGAATGACAGAGGGTGAGGTATAGGTAGGTTTCTTCCAAGAGGTGGCAGTAAAAGCAGAGACCAGGAAGCACTGAGCAATAGGCAAGGGGCGGGGCAAAGGGGCTGTGAGGTTATCTAGCCAAGAACATTCAAGCAGAAGGAAATCAAGGCCAGCAGAAACAGATTGGAAAGGGATGGCTGACAACTCTCCATACCTGATTGTTGAGAAGATCACCCCCTTTATATTAGAATGACTTATTTTTTCATTTACACACTCATTTAATATTTTAGAATAGATTACAAGATTCCCTGGGATTTGGCTTCTTAAAGATCCCCAATGGATAAAAAGTAATATACCCTTAATCTCAACTCCTTTTAAAAAAACAACAACAGTTTTAGAGATATTGAAGTGTCAGTGTCTTGATCAAAGTTAACTATGCAAAATAGTTTTCCCTTAAGCAAAGGGAACACAAAGCAAGTGAGCTGAGGTTCTGTGTTGTTTTACTGGGAATAAGGCATGCATTGAGCCTCTGGGTCTGAAATGAGGATTCACACAGTGAGCCTCAGGTAGGATCTCTGAGGTGTTTTCCTAGTGCTAGCCTCAGACTGTGATCCTTCCACATGGCTAAGACCACTGACCCACACAACCATGCTCAGCTTATTGATCGTGGTGGGTTCTCATTAAGCTTTTGTCAGGGTTGACTTCAAACCATGTTACTAACATACCTCATGAGTAGCTGGAATTACAGGGATAAGTCAACATGACTGTCTGCAAGAGATAGATTTTTAAACCATTTAAAATTTTACTGAATGAGGAGTTTCAGTGGGATCTGGCCCCAGTTATTTAAAATACATGCAAAGAAGTAATGTAGTCCAATTTGTCACAAACATTAATGGACAAGAGAACATGGAATATTACAGCCAAGTGTCAGTAGAAACCTTTGTATAAGGTTGGAGGAAGAAGTACCAAGTGAGCATGGCCAAGACAACACTGTACTTCTTAGGTCCATGAATCACTGGGAGGGATCAGGGATCACTCTCCACAGCACCAGCCATTAAAACCAGCCTCAAGTACAGCAAAGCTAGAATCAGGCCATCACACCGCTGGATTCAAACTGTAATCTGGTGTATGTAGTTTAATAACAAAGTATTTGAATCACATAGCTTTTCCTAGAATATGATTAATAAGCTTAATATTCAAAGACTTTTCTACACAGTAAACAACAGGAAATTTACTTAAAGTATCTCATTCATTCCAAGTGATTTTGCACATTTTATAATCTCAACTAACACAGTAATATATATTTATATATCACAAGTAAACAAAGAAATATGCATACTTTAGTGGTTACTCTCAAACCTTTGAGTGGATTTGGAACTACTGATAAAGGGTGAGTTAGGTCTGTCTGTCTCAGGGCTTTCTGAGGCAGGTTCTTGGAAGTTGGGAGGACTGTTAGGGAGAACACTGTTAGGACTCCTACTGGTACCACTAGACACTATCCATTACACTGTATTTAGTGTTTAGCTGTATTTAGTTTGATGACTCTAACTCCAGCTTTCCTTCTTATTAATCTTCATTCATGCTAAAAGGATTCATTAATTTTTAACTTATTCAAAGGTTTATAATCCATTTACTTATCAGCTATCTGTCTTCTATCTGTCTATGTACTGACATTCTACCACTTTGCATTCTAGCCATGTGTCCAGGCCAGCTTTTTGCTGATTAGTTGGAAATAGAGTCTTATAGACTTTTCCTGACTGTGTTCGCTTTATACTTCCATTCTTCAGGTCTCAGCCTCCTGAGACCTGCATCTTGTTGGGCTAAATATTTGGAATAAGACTTTTTCAAAAATGAATCCATGTGATTCCTTCAGATGAAAGATCATTAGGTCCTAATTTTGGAAGTGGGGAAGAAGAGAATGTATGGCATGGATAAGTCTAGATGGATAATAGAGCTTTCTGGAAGTCTGCCTTCA